AACAACTTATATAATACAAGCTATAAATCACAGCGATTCACAATCTCGATAACTTCGCTCTCGACGAGTGCAAAATACGCACTTTACGGCTAATTAGCTCGAAACTAACAGAATCATAAATTATACGGAACTCAAAGTAACTACTGTTCTTTCTTCATTTATCTCTGCTGGCTTTCACTACCAGGCTTATATACTAACGAAGATGGCATCTCAAACACACTCGAACTTCCCCTATCATTCGAGAAACTCATCACGCACGCCATCAGCGCCAACGCGCCAGCAGCGTCACGTGACTTCCGCTGTCGTAACACTGCCCCTTCCTTAGTATTGTTCGTCCCGAACAATAGCCACTTACATTAAACCAATAGATAACTGACAATAACTTAATTAAATGTACAGAATTTATAAACACTAAATTAAAATACAACAAAGTCTCTTAATTTTACAAGACGTTTCTTCTTTCGCACTGGTCTCTGTCTCATTGGCTTCTGCTTCACATGGGATTCATCTGCTCCATCAGGAATTGTCCTATTATCGGTAGTAGTCACATTAGTGGTAGTAGCTTCATTAACGGCTTCACTGTTTTCTCTCTCAAAACCGGATAGAGTTTCTTTTTCGACAGTGGCTTTTTCAGGTGACACGTCTTCAGCAGTGCCATTTGTTCTGTTGTTCACTTCGTTCCAACTGAAATGTCCTGTGATAATGCCAAAGTCTGTTGGCATGCACCACCTTTGGCTTACCTCGCCGACCACATTTTATTCGGAAAGTCACGTCTGAGAGACGATCCACTATATCATATGGGCCTCCCCATGGAGAAGACAACTTAGGAGACTTCCCTTTGGTTTTCCTGGGATTATACAACCACACCTTGACTCATGGTACAAAGCTGACTTCAGTAGATCTCTTGTAATAACATAACTTCATCGAATCAGCAGACGTTTTTAAGTTTGAACGCACTTGATGATGAATATCATCCATCCTTTCCGATAACACTTTCACAAACTCTGACACATTTTCAGGCAACTCTTCGTAAGGTGGGCGTCCTGTTAACAGATCCACTGGCAATCGAAGTTCCCGACCAAACATCAACTTTACTGGAGTGTATCCAGTAGCTTCATGCTCTGCTGTTCTATAGGCCATCAACAGTGGATGGAGTAAGTCATCTTGGTGGCTATTACAAAACTTTGCCAATTTCTGTCCCATGTCCAATTGTACCTTTCTACCATCCCATCAGACTGTGGGTGAAATGGCGTTGTCCTGGTCTTTCGTATGCCAAACAACTTGCAACATTCATGGAACACAGCTGATTCAAAGTCACAGCCTTGATCAAAATGCAGTTCGTATAGCATACCAAACCTGAAGAAGAAATCACTGATTTGGTATTGCGTATGCCTTAGGCCACTTGGTGAAATAATCCATCACCACACAAATGTACTTGTTTCCAGCACGAGTTTGGGGCAGAAAACCAGCAATGTCCATGGCTACTCTTTCCATTGGTGCATCAACTTGATATAACATCATTGGAGCATGCCCCTTATGCTTGGGTCCCCTTTTAGCACAACATGTACTGCATGTCCTACACCATTCTTCCACATCTTGCCTCATACATATTCAGTAAAATCTCTGTCGTAGGTGACTCAATGTCTTCTTAACTCCAAGATGTCCTCTTGTTAAATTATCATGGGATTACACATCCCAACTTCCCATAACTTTCTCGGTATAACTGTTTGCCACGTCGTCACTTTCCCATTTGCAGTTTCCACAAGAATATCATCTTCAACCTAAAACTGCTCCCATTGTGCCCAATAGTTCTTTTCCACAGGGATTAAGCTAGACACCTTCTCCCAAGCAGGGTGCAAAATTTTCACTTGCTTGTAGAAAATCAATTATTGGCT